GCGCAGAGACGTGGAGAAACACTTTGCGCGAGTGTGCCGACTTGTGTCCAGATATTTGACACCGGAGGATTCACACGATCTGTGCGTGTTCTGCCTGAGAGAAGAGCATTCGCGGGAAGCTCTCGAGGGAGTTTTTTGCGCGAACTGAGAGTTTTTCCTTTCAGAACTCTCTGCTCTCGTCTGACCCACTTCTCGAGGGAAGTGGGCGCGGCATCTGAACCCCGCGGTTCCGGTTCCCGCTCGGGCTGAGGCTCAGTGGCGGTTGAGCTCGTGGAGCTTTCAGATGGAGCTGGCAGATTATCGGGAGAGGGGCGTTAACCTCGCGGATGATCTACCAGCTGACGAGGGTGAGTTACAGATTAATGTTGAACATCTAAGAAGAGAGAAAATGAGCGCTCTCTCTCTTTGGTGAATCTGTAACTGTTCTCTTTGGGCAGGGCAGGAGTTGGCTGTAATATATATATATATATATATACGTAGAAAAGGATGTCAGTTTGGTTGAGACCGAATCATTTCAGCCCTCCTGCCCAGTGTACGCTGAGCTGGTTGACATTATGGGGCGCGCCTCAGACAGATTGCTGTTGCAGTGGAGGCGCGTCTGGGAGGAACCCGCTCATGGTATTTTGGATGGCTGGTTCCTCCCCACCCATAAGCCACTAGCCCGGATGAGCCTTCCATTCGTTTCCGATCTCCACGCTGGGATCGAGAGGGTATGGAAGAATCCGTTCTCCTCACGTCTCTATCTGCATCAGCGGGCTAGTTTCGCTGCTGTGGAGGGAGCCGTGGAGAACGGATAAGTGTCGAGGCCGCCAGTGGACGAGACGTTGGCTAACTATCTCGTCTCTGGTTGGTCCTCTTCACTAAGAGCTCTGACACTGTCATCCAAGCTGCTCAAGACATCTTCATGCTTGAATGACAGAGCGTACATGGCAGCAGGTCAGGCAGGTGCGGTTCTGCACGCCCTTGTGGTCCTCAGGCCTACCAGACCGATCTGTTGCGGGACTCCGGGCCACCAAGCAAGCTGCTGTTCTGTCGGTGCTATGGTGGCCACGGAGAGACATCTGTGGGAGCTCCCACATACTGTGGTTGCCAGGTTACAGGCCTCACCAGGCCTTCCTGGTTATGAGCTCCCACTGATTGTGGTCACCGGGTTACAGGCCTCACCAGGCCTTCCTGGTTATGAGCTCCCACATGCTGTGGTCGCTGGGTTACAGGCTTCACCAGGCCTTCCTGGTTATGAGCTCCCACATACTGTGGTTGCCAGGTTAAAGGCCTCACCAGGCCTTCCTGGTTATGAGCTCCCACACATTGTGGTCGCCAGGTTACAGGCCTCACCAGGCCTTCCTGGTTATGAGCTCCCACATACTGTGGTCGCCAGGTTACAGGCCTCACCAGGCCTTCCTGGTTATGAGCTCCCACATACTGTGGTCGCCAGGTTACAGGCCTCACCAGGCCTTCCTGGTTATGAGCTCCCACATACTGTGGTCACCAGGATACGAGCTCTCACGTACTGTGGTCGCCAGGTTAAAGGCCTCACCAGGCCTTCCTGGTTATGAGCTCCCACACATTGTGGTCGCCAGGTTACAGGCCTCACCAGGCCTTCCTGGTTATGAGCTCCCACACATTGTGGTTGCTAGGTTACAGGCCTCAAAGGGGCCTTCCTGGTTATGAGTTCCCACTTTCTGTGGTGGTCAGGTTATAGGCCTCACCAGGCCTTCCTGGTGATGAGCTCCCACACATTGTGGTTGCTAGGTTACAGGCCTCAAAGGGGCCTTCCTGGTTATGAGTTCCCATATACTGTGGTAGTCAGTTTACAGGCCTCACCCAGCCTTCCTGAATGTGGGCTCCCACATGATGCGGTAGCCAGACTACAGCCTCACCACCTTCCCTGAGCACTTTGCTCCCACTCTGTGGTCACCAGGCTTCAGGCTTCATTGGCCTTCCTGGTTGTGAGTTGTCACATGTCAGGTTGCAGGCTTCACCAGGCCTTCCTGAATGTGAAACCCCCACTTTTCGTGGTCGCTAAGTTGTAGTGGTGAGTCTTCACATGTCAGGCTGCAGGCCTCAGCGGCCTTCCTGAATGTGAGCTCCCCATGCATTGGGACTATCGGGTGTTAGGCCTTGTCAGGCCTTCCTGATTATGGGTTCCCACTTGTTGTGGCTGCCAGGTTACAGGCCTCAAGTTCGGCCTTTCTGAATTCAGAGTGAAGTACACTAACCCCTACTTCACCTATTATTGTGGTAAATCACATGACGGGATGTCTTGTGTACTTTCTAAAATCCATTTTGTATGGGAAGGGTCACGCGTGGTATGCTTCGGTCCCTTCTTATGTGGCTCAGACCCCGGTCTTCCCTTGGGTCCCACTTTAAGTGGCGTCCTGTCACTGGCTACAGGGACGCCCTTCTCTGGCTAACTTCTGGAAGAAGTAGCTTCCACTTGGTGGAGTAAGCTCCCACAGGTTGTGGTCACCAGGCTGGGTCTCACTGACCTTCCTGAGTACGAGCTCCCACCCAATGTGGTCGCCAGGTTACAGGCCTTACCAGGCCTTCCTGGTCATGAGCTCCCACACACTGTGGTCGCCAGGTTACAGGCCTCAACAGGCCTTCCTGGTTATGAGCTCCCACATATTGTGGTTGCTGGGTTACAGGCCTCACCAGGCCTTCCTGAATTCAGAGTGAAGTACACAAACCCATACTTCACCTATTATTGTGGTAAGTCACCCGACGAGATGTCCTGTGCACTTTTTAAAATCCATTTCTTATGGTGAGGGTCACGCGCAGTATGCTTCGGTCCCTTCTTATGTGGCTCAGACCCCGGTCTTTCCTCGGGTCCCACTTTAAGAGTTCTTAAGAGCTAACTTCTGGAAGTAGCTCCCACTTGGTGTGGTTTTTCAGGTACACCAGGCTGGGTCTCACTGACCTTCCTGAGTACGAGCTCCCACCGGATGTGGTCGCCAGGTTACAGGCCTCACTAGGCCTTCCTGGTTATGAGCTCCCACATACTGTGGTCGCCAGGTTACGAGCTCCCGCATACTGTGGTCGCCAGGTTACAGGCCTTACCAGGCCTTCCTGGCCATGAGCTCCCACACACTGTGGACGCCAGGTTACAGGCCTCAACAGGCCTTCCTGAATTCAGAGTGAAGTACACAAACCCATACTTCACCTATTATTGTGGTAAGTCACCTGACGAGATGTCTTGTGCAGTTTTTAAAATCCATTTCATATGGTGAGGGTCACGCGCGGTATGCTTCGGTCCCTTCTTATGTGGTTCAGACTCCGGTTCTTCACTTTGGGTCCCACTGTAGATGTGTCTTTGTCGCAATACATTACGACAGGCACTTCCCTTGTTCAAGCTATCTCCCACAACTGTGGTTTTAGGTCTGATTAGACCTTTTTCGAGGTAGCCCAACATTGTGGGTCTGTCAGGTTTCTAGCCTCTGGCTTTCCTGAAGGATGAGCTTCCACATGCTGTGGTCGTTGGGTTTCAGGCCGCACAACGTACGGCCTTCCTGACATGAGCCCTCATGTATCGGAGCTCCCCACACATGGGGTCATCAGGTCTTAGGTCTCTTTGACCTTCCTGATTTTTGATCCCTCTCTTACTTCCTCAGTGCTCAAAAGCGAGCACTGGGTGGAAACTCGTGGATTGAGTGTACGATTCCCATTGGTTCGAGGTTGAGTCACACTCTCCGGAGGATCCCGTCTCTGTGATCCGAAACTCGATGGTTTCCGCCAGCTTCGCGGGCCTTCAGTTTTTGGATGCCTTTTCTAGGCAATTTCCAGAGGCTCTGTCTTGGACGGACAGGCTATGGCCAGACTGTGTGTCTTAGTACAGATCACCAGGCCAGCCTGGGGGCATTTCAGGAGGAGTGTTCTCCTGAATAGTGACTGGCTGGGGGTCTCTTTGGCCCCCTAGCCACACTCCCTAGAAGGGACCCCTTCTATTTTGAAGTTGTGGTCCTAAAGCCTTTGAGCTGGCCCTGATTTACTCACGTTATTACGTTCTGGTTTTTCTTGGTTCATTAGCTTGGGCTATGACCGGTAGGGAGTGCTGTCACTGACAGCCCGATGTAACATAGGGTGAGTGGTTTCAGTGTTTCTTGGAATTACTGGTTCTGACAGTTGTCACTGCCTTTCGGCATGCACTCCCCTCAGCATGGCGGAGTGGGTATTTCGTTCCCCATAGCGTCATTCGACGTATTGTTGAGTTCCCTTCGAAAGGGAACGTCTCAGGTTACAACTGTAACCTATGTTCCCTGAGAACAGGGAACGAGACAATACGTCTCGTTGCCATGCCTCGGGGCCTGCCTGCAACAGTCCCTTCAGACGATAGGATGTTGTCACGGTTTCAAGGCGCCCTTCTTATACATCCAGATTGACGCGCTCATCATTCAAGCTGATGATGCACGGGCTGTCGCCGGTCAACCTGATTACTGTGAGTTGATATTTGATTTCAGACACCTGTCACGCCTGAGGCGTTCCCCCATAGCGTCATTCGACGTATTGTCTCGTTCCCTGTTCTCAGGGAACATAGGTTACAGTTGTAACCTGAGACGTTTTCTTTTTACAGTAAACATTAAATATTACATATACAATTTCCATCATAGGAACAATATGACATTAAAAATAGTCTCTAATAGTCTTAAGTTGAACTTGTTTATATCTGTAGACACCCTGAGAAATTCTAGGACCATTTTTTATTTTATTTTACAGTAAAACTTATTTGAACTTATTTGACCATCTTACTTCTAGAAAAGCAGGTCAGGCGATCTCTGTTTTTAAAATTTACCGAATTATAAATCTTCCAGACAGAGCCATGAGGACTTGTAATATTGCATGAGCCGTGAGACTCCTGAGACGTGACAGTGTTGAGATTAGCAGGTTAGATCAGGGTAAGTGAAGTGTGCTGTGTGTGTGTGTGTGTGTGTGATCTGCAGGATGAGTAGTCACGAGTGTTTCTCTCAGACTGACATGTGTTTGCTCTTGTGTGTGTGTTGCAGGTTTTCATGAGCTGTTCCTCCATCAGAATGAGCTCGTCTCCCGTCGGCCCTCGCGTGTGCGTCGATATCCTCGAGGAACTGCAGGTCTTCGCAGCTCAAAACCTGGAGAAGGTCGAGGTCAACAAATACTATGAGGTCATACGAGAGCTCGGCAAGGGGACTTATGGGAAGGTGGACCTCGTCATCCATAAGAGCAGAGGTACAGGCCAGACCTGGGTTATTATCGCCACTGTTCTCAATACTTCAAATAAACTCCGTCTGTTGTTTATATGTGTGTTTAATCCGCTTTAACACACACCATGTGTAAGTTGATAAGTGGACAGCATTGCTGAGTATTTCCTCCTTAAAACTGCAGTAAATCGCTGGTGTTTCTGACGTCACAAACCACCTTGTAACCAATCATATTCATAGAACCGCGCATACTAAATTAGGCAAGGGTGTCGAGTTACATTCAAGATATTTTATGGTGTGAAGTATTTTTTTCCCAAGGAAATGTGTACTTTTGGTGATCAAAGATTAGTTTTAATGGATCAAATTGTTGACTACAGGGGGACTTAACTGAAATAAAATTCCAAATTTCAATTGAATGTACTAAAATAAATCAAATAAAAATATAACTTAATTTATATTTATGCATTGTATCCAAAGCGACTTGCATTGCATTTCAAAGCACACATTTACATTTTTATTATTGCTGTCCCTTGACCGTGGCATTGCAAGCGCTCTACTGTGTGAGCTACAGGAAAGCATTAATAAACATCTTAAAGAAACTTAATAAACAGCATTACTCCAGTAGATGGCGACAGAGTCACTGAATCATTCATTCAACCAATCCTTTCAGAAAACATTCATTCAGAAAATGAAACGTGAGTGAGTCATTGAATCATTCAAAAACATTGATTCATTTGCGAAATAAACAAGTGACTGTTTCATTGAATCATTTACACAACCAATTCATTCAAAACACTGATTCAGTCAGAAACAAAACACGTGACTGTATAGTCAAAGATATAACAAAAAACTAAATGAATGAAAATGACAAACACACACAACAAAAATAATAAATTAAAATGAAAAATATCAACATTTAACTCACAATAACATCATTCCAAACCAACTTGGTATTTAGGAATGATGTCGGATTAAAAATATATTTTTGTGTTTATTTTTGTCATTTTGTCACAATACAATTAATACTCCTCATTTTTAGTGCAATAAACAAGTAGTTAATATTAAATTGCTGACTGTTTTTGTTCAGTTTTACCAATGAAAATAGTTCCAAACACAGAACTGAACAGAACTATTGCGTATCTCAAAAATTGATAATTTTGTCATTGAATATTAATGTGCTTGGTAAAGTAGTTCCTTGTTTTCCGTCTCATGGTCTAATGTTCATGCATGAGGTTTATAGCAGGTGCCGTAATCTGAGAGATTAATGAACTAACTAATCTAATCCGCTCGTGTTTCTCCTCGTCTACAGGAGCCAAGATGGCTCTGAAGTTCCTGAAGAAGAAGACAACCAAGCTGAAGAGTTTCTTGCGGGAGTACAGCATCTCCCTCTATCTTTCTCCGTGTCCCTTCGTCATCAACATGTTCGGCATTGCGTTTGAAACGGAGGAGTACTATGTGTTTGCGCAGGAATACGCGCCGTCTGGAGACCTGTTCGACATCATTCCTCCACAGGTAAACAGAAGCATCTAACAATCCATCATTTTCCACTGATTTCCAGGAGCGTTTTTTTTAACCTTTGTAAAGACAATTACCTTAAAGGTACAATATGTAAGAATTTTGTAATAAAATATCCAAAAATGGATCGGCATGATGATAAGTTCTACGATTCCGCTTATTCACTGCGTCATCAATCTACGCCTCTGTTATTGTAAGAGGTTAGCGCCCCCTAGTGGTGAAAACAATTACATATTGTAGCTTTAAATGTGTCTGTGTTGTCTTTTATATAAAATACTTCAATTTAACCAATTACTTCAGTCAATCAGAATAAAATGACACCGCAAACACAAGAACAGAAGCTGCATCTCTCCTGTCATTTACAACACAGAGATAACAGGAGAATAATGCAACACAGTTTGTTTCCAGTAGAGTATAGCGTCACAGTCCAGCTTGAGTAAGTTCAGTGATGCTTCATTTCAAATAGCTGTTAATTTAGTTCGTTTATAGAAAGGGTGATGTCATCGTCCAGCTCAGTTCAGTTGTCATATATTGCTGTCAATGCAGGAGATCAATAATATTGCTGGATATTAAGTTGAATGATGATGGTGGTGATCCTTGTGTTGGTGTTTTACGACCTGCGTTCTTGAATCTTTTCTATTGCTCTTTGTTCTTTTTCTCTCCCTTTTTTGTTCTGTTTGATCCCGTACGAGCCCCCGATTATTATTATTTCGGCCCGTGTTCATAGCCTGGTCCCACCAGACTCGTACATCGTACATGGATCATGGATCTGCCATAACCAATCGCTAATGTTTGGCCGTGACGTATGACGAGTCAAACTATCGCACGACATCAACGTCATCGTTCTCAGCCACTCCCTCTGTTCACTGATTGGGCCGGCAAACAATTGACCGGAGAAAACCAAAGAATACACCACAATCCCAGACGTAGTACTGAAGGAAAATGAAAATTGAGCGGAAGTATGTATGAGGGCGGAGCCAGGCTAACGTGTCGAGCAGAATATAGAAACTAAGAGGGTGTGGTAAAATAAAGTAAAGATCACTCCCATTACGTAAGGGTTAATGCCAGGTGAGGTGTCCATTATCAGGTATTAATGGACAACGATGAGGCGTGTGTGCCCGCTTATACCATGGTCACTTGCCAAATAACACATTTTTAAAACATTAGTTTATATTTTAATTAGTTTCACAATCGAAATCTAAACAATAACTTGGTTTCGCCTGATGGTTTATTTAGCAAGCGGAGATATTTGTAGTCCAGTTTAGCTAACTCACGAGCCAGAAAGTTAGCATTATTTTTTTCATCTAAGTTAGGCTTGTCTAGCCATAGGCGTCACACTTTCGTTTTTTTAACCTAAAATTAGAACACACAGGTAGGCGTAGTATAACGACTAACTACGGTAGATGTTTGTTTTGATACAATAAATTGTAACCGGATACTTTGACTGCCTGTTGCTATGGTTACTCATTTATTTAATCATTTCGAACGGTGAACAGTCAGTTTCACCAGAAGAACTCCTTTACTAGGGTGTCCTCTGTCACTTTTTAATGGACACCCTGCAGCCAATCAGAATCGAGTATTCACCCAGACCATGGTGTATTGATTATTACTCTGATTATTGCTCTGATATTTTTTGGCTAACTGTGATTTTGCATATGTACATTTCTGAAACGCATTACTCAGTCTCCTCTGATAACAGATCGCTGTAAACTGTAATGTGGACTCGTGTATTTTCTGTAAAGCAGCTTTGATATAAACGTGCGCTGCATGTGTGTGTGCACAGGTGGGTCTCCCGGAGCCGGTGGCGAAGCGCTGTGTGCATCAGGTGGCCATCGCGCTGGACTACCTCCACTCCAAGCAGCTGGTGCACAGAGACATCAAGCCCGAGAACATCCTAATCTTCGACAAGGAGTGTCGTAAGGTCAAGCTCTCGGACTTCGGCATGACTCGGCGCTCCGGTTCTCCGGTGAAGCGCGTGAGCGGCACGATCCCGTACACGGCACCGGAGCTCTGCGACTCGTCGAAACACGAGGGCTTCAGCGTGGACTACAGCACAGACGTGTGGGCCTTCGGAGTGCTTCTCTTCTGCATGCTCACCGGGAACTTCCCGTGGGAAAAGGCCATGCCTCCCGACTCGTTCTACGAGGAGTTTGTGCGCTGGCAGAGGCGGCGAACGAATTCGGTTCCGTCTCAGTGGCGTCGCTTCACAGACGAAGCCCTCCGCATGTTCAGGAAGCTCCTGGCGCTGGAGCAGGAACGCCGATGCTCCGTTAAGGAAGTATTCGTGCATTTCGGGCACCGCTGGATGCTAGACGGGAAAAGCGGCGAAAACCATCATCAGTCGGCGCAGAACTCTTCATCCGAGGAGGAGGAGCTGCTCGTGGACCGCATGAAGAAGCAGAGCTTGTCTCCGAAGGCTTCGGCGAGTCTCGGTGTGGAGTCGGGGTCGGCTCACCTCTTCACATCCGTGTCCACCAACAGCTCCGTCTCGTCCACCAACAGCTTCGAGCGCTCGGCCCGGGACAGTCCAGCCAGCAGCCGGATCCTCGTCACCACGCCCATCGAGATCTGTGTGTGAGCGCGCACACACTCGCACACGCGCGCACCGATGAAACGTGTGTACGATATAGCGCTATTATATGGAACCCTGTTTACGACATAATTAAAAAATCGTGCTTTTGTGTATCTTAATGTTTAGGGATGCACGATATATCGGCCACCGTATCGGTATCGGCCGATATGTGGTCATTTTAAATGTTATCGTTATCGGCCTGATGAGAAAATTTGGCTTATATATTAATCTTATATTATATCTATATATATTATATTATATCGACCGATATATCGCTTATCGGTTTTCAAATATAAAGAATTGTCGGTGTCAGCCAAAATTTCCATATCGATGCATCCCTAATAATTATGCTATAAAAAGGCATAGTTATGATTTGCTGATTCATAATTATGACAAAAAAGTATTATGTACTAAATCAAAATTATGAGATTAAAGTCAAAATTATGACAGTTTTAATTAATGATGACATCATAATTACTATTTATAAGTCATGATTGTGACTTTTACCCCTGGTTTCACAGTCAAGGTTTAAGTCTAGTCTCAGACTAAAATGCATGTTTGATCTGTTTTTAGTGAAGTTATTAAAATATGTCAGTGCCACTGTTTCGTCTCAAGATGCACATCAGAAATGTATATATATTTTATTATAGGGCAAGTTTAGATACTTAAATGTCCTAATTGAATTTAGGCCTAGTCCTGGCTTAATCTAAACCCTGTCGGTGAAACCAGGCCTTTGTCATATTTTCGATTTACTGTCATAATTCTGACTTTTTAAGTCAGAATTACAACTGTTTAGGTCATAATGTGTAGTAGTGTCATAATTATGACTTGGTACGTAAGTTTGACATTTTATGTTAATTAAATGATTTACAAAAGACCGATTTTTTTTTTCCTTACGTGATGAAATGGGCTTCCAGTCACATTAGCTTTAATTCAGCAAAATCGAATGAGCAAAAATGTCGGTTTATTGTCAGAAACCGCTCACACAGAAGTCTCTTCTAAACCCAGCATCTTTCTGTTCGTTAACGCCAAATTCACGTGACAAACTTGAAAATGAGCTAAATCGAAATTCCCGATGACGTAGATTCCTTTCGAAATGACTGCAATTCGCCCGCGAAAACTCGCTGAACAACGATAAACGCGAGCGTATATTTAAACGCAAGGCAAATTAAGAGTCTGTTTACACGACACTGTTTTTAACTAAAAGTTAGTCGTCTTCACGGATATGTGTTAACTGGATCGTTTTGACAACGTTGTCGTTTGTACGAGAGAAAAAAACGCGAAGAAAAACATTTCCGTTTTTAGTAAATGGTTGTCGTGTAAACGAACCCTTAGTTTGTGTTCGATGTGCGTTTGATTCTCTGGTCGCTCCACTAACATTCCTAACAGAGATTTGCGTGTTTAGAAACAGTCTGCAAAGAAACGCTGTGAAATAGTGCAATTCTCCAAGTGGATCGAAAGCTTGATCCCACTTCCAGCTCGGGAAGAAACACGAGGGCTTCCCACAAATCTCTCTAAAGCAATATATGAAGCAAAAAAAGAAAGAAAGGAGAATATCTGGGATCTTCATTCTTGTGAGGAATTCATCAAAATCATTTCTGTGAACAAGCAAACAGTGAGGACTGGGACGTTGATGATGAACTTATGAGTGTGTGTTCGAGATTTGCCACGATGTTTTTTTATTAAATCCTGATTTACTGAATGTTCGGTACGTGCAACACACGAGGTTTGTGTCGCAGATATTGCATGTGTTTATATAAATTGACTTGTAGACTGTTGTTTTTAATTAATTGTTCTTAATTTATCAGGATTCTATAGTGTTCAGAAAAATATATATTTTTTAAGTTGATGAACAAACATCAATATTTTTTATTTAATTTTAGTACTTTGGCGCAGTCGTGCCAAACTTATTTTTCACGTGGCTGAAGGTCGGCTGCTTCGACGAACATTAATTGAACATTTATTCATGATGTTTTAGAGTATTTCTCAGAGTTTGGCTGTGATGGCTTTATGATATTTCTGTTGCAAAAAGAAAAACTACTAGTTTGTGGTGGTGAACAACACACAATTATCCACAGGTTCAAAAGATATCTTTTTTGCCTACTATATTTTGTGTTTGCTGTTCCCCCTTTAAAGTGTTATCTTATATATTTTCTACATTGGTTTAAACTGAAATGCAAAACAAAGAGCAAACATAATAATAACTGCATGACGTTGATGAAAACATTGAAAACAAGTGTTTTGAGATTTGTCAGAATTGATGTAATGTGAATTTTTTTGGCGTCACAACTTCTTGCATAATGTTTCGGGGTGAAATTTTTAGTAGATGACATAGGGCAAAACATCAAGCCAGCCAAATGATTGTTGGTTTTGTTGTCGTGTTTGTATGCTGCTGCTGTTGTTGTTGTTAATGTTGTTGTTGTTTATTTCTCACTGAGATCAAGCACTACCTGATAAAGCCTGTGTGTGAAACACATCTGCTGTCATCTACTGAAACCCATTATTTGCAGATCGCCAGACAGCAACAGTGTCGGCCCAGATCCGGGACATGTGGATCCCCAGCTAACAGGACGTCTCAGAACGTCTATATTTCACTGCTATAGTGCGATGCATCGAAATCCACTAGGTCGTCTCGGCTGTTTCCTGAAACCATATTGTCGCAAATTGGTCGTTCAACCGCGTTGGGTAATGACGTCATGCACGTGGTGGAGTAACAACTACTGTTAATTAATCGATTAACAATACTGTTAATTTGAGATCGAATTAATGCTAGAAATTTTGATATAAATTACAGACATGGCATCTGAGTTTTTCTCAGTTATTTTGCTTTATTTCCATCGGCTCGTTGCCGGCACACATGCGCAGTTTTCAAAAACGGCGCTTTGAATCTCCATCCATCCATCTTCTTCCGCTCATCCGGGGCCGGGTCGCGGGGGCAGCAGTCTAAGCAGAGATGCCCAGACACTCCCTAGACACTTCCTCCAGCTCTTCTGGGGGGACACCGAGGCGTTCCCAGGCCAGCCGGGAGACATGGTCTCTCCAGCGTGTCTTAGGTCTTCCCCGGGGCCTCCGCCCAGTGGGACGTGCCTGGAACACCTCCCCGGGGAGGCGTCCAGGAGGCATCTGGAACAGATGCCCGAGCCACCTCAGCTGACCCCTCTCGATGTGGAGGAGCAGCGGCTCTACTCTGAGCTCCTCCTGAGCTTCTCACCCTATCACCCTATCTCTCCAGCCACCCTGCAGAGAAAGCTCATTTCCCACCAGCGAGGTGACGTTCCACGTTCCTAAGGCTAGTTTCCGTGTCCAGGGATTGGGTCGCCGAAGCCCCTGCCTTCGACTGCCGTCCGATCCTCTCTGCACCGGCCCCTTACGGCTCCTCCTGCAGGTGGTGAGCCCACGGGAAGGCGGCCCCACGTCGCTCCTTCGGGCTGAGCCCGGCCGGACCCCGTGGGTAGAGGCCCGGCCACTAGGCGCTTGCATACGAGCCCCAACCCTGGGCCTGGCTCCAGGGTGGGGCCCGGCTGCGCCATACCAGTGACGTCACAGTCCTTGAATATACTTCTTCCATAAGGGGTTTTTGAACCACTCTTAGTCTGACCCGTCGCCTAGGACCTGTTTGCCTTGGGAGACCCTACCAGGGGCATATAGCCCCAGACAACATAGCTCCAGGGGTCATTCGGGTACTCAAACCCCTCCACCACGTTAACCCATTCAGACCCTGTGTCCATTACAATGGACATCACATGTCAGCCCCCTTCTTTAACTGGAGCATTTCACCTATTTTAAAGCCTTCAGTCCATGAGATTGGACGTTTGTCATCCAATCAAATGCCAGTAAAGCTCTGCATGTAGTAATTATATATAAAAAACTCTACATTGAAGAGAAGCATGGCAGCACTTCTCTCCAAACACAGAAGCAAGCAACATTTTCTAAGGTGTATTTACATTTTGTATATATTTTTGCCAGTATTTCATAGTTTGTATGTAAAATAGAAAGATTGAACTTATTATCCTCGGTGCGAAAAATTACGTTTCTCCAATCTTCTCAAAACTATGGATTCTGATAGAAAGCCATGAGACTTAGACCTGAGTGCAAAAATGGAGTCTCTAGACCCTTCCAGAGCTGAGATATTGAGATCCCACATAGCATTTATGCCACACACAAAATTTCTACCCAAAAAAAAAACAAAAAATGACAGGGCTCTAGACCCTTCTAGAGCTGAGATATTGAGATATTTATAATGGCATAAATGCGACTTGGGATCTCAATATCTCAGCTCTGGAAGGGTCTAGAGACTCCATTTTTGCACTCAGGCCTAAGTCTCATGGCCCTCTATCAGAATCAAGAGTTTCAAGAAGATTGGAGAAATGGGTCGCAGAAATGCAGAAATCCCACATAGCATTTATGCCACACTCAAAATTTCGACCCAAATAAAAAAACGACAGGGGTACCCTGTCGTTTGTCGAAAATTACGTTTCAAAAATTACAAAATTTCGCCAAAAATGGGCGAAATTTTGAGTTTCTCTGATCTTCTCGAAACTCTGGATTCTGATAGAGGGCCATGGGACTTAGACCTTTAGTGCAAAAATGGAGGCTCTAGACCCTTCCAGAGCTGAGATATTGAGATATTTATAATGGCGTATGCTACGTGGGATCTCAATATCTCAGCTCTGGAAGGGTCTAGAGCCTCCATTTTGCACTCAGGTCTAAGTCTCATGGCCCTCTATCAGAATCCAGAGTTTTGAGAAGATTGGGGATACTTATTTTTTCACACCAAAAAAAAAAAAAACGACAGGGGTAACACTGTCGAAATTTTGAGTTTCTCTGATCTTCTTGAAACTGAGTGCAACCTGAGTGCAAAAATGGAGTCTCTCACCCTTCCTGAGCTGAGATATTGAGATCCCACATAGCAATTATGCCACACTCAAAATTTCGACCGAAAAAATAAGTTTCTCCAATCTTCTCAAAACTCTGGATTCTGATAGAGGGCCATGAGACTTAGACCTGAGTGCAAAAATTGAGTCTCTAGACCCTTCCAGAGCTGAGATATTGACATCCCACATAGCATTTATGCCACACTCAAAATTTCGACCCCCCAAAAAAAACGACAGGGGTACCCCTGTCAGGTTTTTTTTTTTCGGTGCAAAAAAATAAGTTTCTCCAATCTTCTCAAAACTCTGGATTCTGATAGAGGGCCATGAGACTTAGACCTGAGTGCAAAAATTGAGTCTCTAGACCCTTCCAGAGCTAAGATATTGAGATCCCACATAGCATTTATGCCATTATAACAGGGGTACCCCTGTTGGTTTTTTTGGGTCGAAATTTTGAGTGTGGCATAAATGTCAAGTCACATTTATTTATATAGCGCTTTTCAGCAAGGCGACAGTGGCAAGGAACCAAAACTCCATCAGATTGGATGGAGAAAAAACCTTGGGAGAACCCAGGCTCAGTCGGGGGCCAGTTCTCCTCTGGCTTACATTCATATTGTTTATATATAAATATTAAATATAAATATTGTTTATGTATAAAACGGCGCCATAACATATCGCAGGCGTTGAGTCGTCTCTTCACAGGCGTTGGTCCTCTCATCGCAGGCGTTGGGGCATCCGAAAT